CACGGCCCCGCCCCCACCCTGTCTCTCTCTCTCTACCCACCGCCACCATCACCAACCTCCCCCATCCCATCCCTCTGACCACATCTGTCCCCGCCCCCGCCCCGGTACCTGTAGGTGCTCCATCAGCTGGCGGACATAGCGGTCCCGGTCAGACGCCACGGGGCAGTGTGATTGTAGGTAGAGGACGGGAGCGGTGCCGAGGCGGCGGAGGAGGTTCTTCCGTTGGAGGGAGGTGACGGGCGGGTGGTGGAGGTAGCGGTCGGCGGGCAGCCACTGGAGGGTCAGCGGGTAGTCGGAGTGTCGGCGGAAGGTGGCGGTGTAGTTGAAGAGGCGGATGGCGGCGGCCTGAGACAGCAGGTAGTTGTTCATCGGCGACTCCTCGTGGAACAGGGCCCAGGTCTGGCGGCGGCGGCGGGGCAGCGGAGCCCGGTCCGCTCGGAAATCGGTGCCGTAGAAGAGGACGGCGGCCGTCCGCCGGTGACCGATGGTCCGCTTGCTGCGGGTGACCAGGCAGGAAGCGCGGGGGGCCGGGCCCGAAGAGGCCCAGCCCGGGATTGGGCCGCACTCGATCCGCTCCGACGTCCTCCCTCCGCCGGGGAAATGCGGGAACAGATCCTCGCTCCACCACAGCAGCACCGGCAGCTCCCTGTCTCCGGGCCGCCGGCTGCTGCCGTTAGCCGCGCCGAACTCCATCCCCGACAGCGCCGAGGCCGCCTCGAAAGCCTGGGCCTCCCGCCGGCCGCCGACCCGCGGCAGTGAGGCCTCCAGGAGGAGGATGAGGGCCGCGGCGGGAAAGGCCGCCATGTCCGTTTAACGGTCGGACTTTACGACACTTTCACAGCAGGAGGTCGAGGCCGCTGCTGTCCCTCACTTTACGGCAGGAGGTCGACCTCCGCTCCTTTCCGTCTCTTCGCGCCGCTCTGAGGAAGGGTCACTCGATCCGAAACGTTAACCCTGATTTCTCTCCACAGATGCTGCTGGAATTTCCCGGCAATTTCTGTTTGGCCTCCTTCCCAGTGGTCGCGTCGTTGCCCCTGTTTTTACGACAGCGCGCTGTTCCATTCTACGCCCGAAGGTCAATCAGCACGGGTGCCACTTTACGATAGAAGGTCATTCCCCCGACACTCCAGTTGGAAAACTTTCAGGTGCTGATTGGTTATCTTGCCCCACCAATCAGCAGCCAGAACAGATTTAACCCCTCAAGTGCCTTGTTGGTGTGAGCAGAGAACTCAAAATGCTTTCTGCAAGATAAAATTGTGGCCTTTGGGTCAAATGAGAGTAGACTTATCCAGTTGCAAATCTGTACAATTTCTTCTTTTTCCAGATCTTGTTGAGGTTTTGTTTCAGATTCCCAGTATCTGCAATTATTTGTTTCATTTAAGGTTTGTTCTTTCTCTGTTCCAGGGTAGACTAGCAGAAACTGTTCCCCACTCATTAAAGGATTGAGAGACAGAAGGCGTAGAGTTAGTGATTTCCAAAAGAAGCAAATGTGCTGCAAGAATTTCACACAGCGCTTGGTTTGTGCCTGAATGCTCTGCCTTGACGTGTCACAGAGGCAGGTTCAGTCGAGGCATTCAAGAAGGCATTAGATATTTGAATAGGAACATTACGCGGGGTTAGGAGGAGAAGACAGGAGAATGACAGTGGATGAGATGCTCATTTAGAGATCTAGTGCAGACACCACAGGCTGCAAGACTGTGATACTCCTGTCTTACTGAAATTTGGTTTGTTCACCATGACCATTCAATTTTGGTCAGTTCTCTATGTATGTTCCAGTCCTTCCCAGGTGCAGGTTATCTGGTTCTGCTTTGCACATGTCTGATTTAGGGCACATACTTTCAATCATGAACTCGGCCTCAATGTCTGACATTTCCTCCCTTGCCTTAGGACTTTTCCTGTCCAACTGCGAGCCTTGAGCCGCACTAGACTGTGGTCTTAGACAGCTTCAGATCCTCCCACCATTTGCTAACCTACTTTAGACTTGCTCCAGCTCCACAGTGTAGATCTTAGGTCACAGTCTTTGATTACTCTAGATGCAGTTATCTGGTCACCGCAGATTCTGCTTTCCTGCATTATGATGCTCTGCTTCAGACTGCTTTGGCCTCAAGCTCGCACAATAAATAACAATCACTTTACAATCTTTGCTCTTGCTTTGGGACACTCCATACTCCGCGCTCTGGTTTGACACTGCTGTGGGATTGATGCTCAATTAAAGACCTCTCTGGTCATGTGGTACAATAGAGATGAGAATTTCAATTCAGCCCAACTGGAGGCTTGTAATTGGATTTTATAGGAATGACATTGAGTGACTGTAATCCACTTCCCATACAGGGCTGCAGCATAAAACTATCTGTAATGTGGCACTGGTCAGTAAGTCTATTCATGCAGGCCATGAATGACAAATTTAGGAACTGGACTACCAGATGCATGTGGAGTTTGTCATTTTGAAATCTGGATTTAGTAGGGCCCGTGATGGTGGGGTGAGGGGAGTAGAGTTCTGCCAGGCCAATGGAGATGGGTTTTGATGCAGGGAATTGGATGAAAAAGAGCAACAGGATTTCTGTGGTGTGCGACACATCCGGCTGCGTTTCCTCGAGGAAGCTTGTGGGCCAGTAAACCATTGACATTGTGCACAACTTAAACCCATTAATAATTCAGTTGGGAACCATTTTCCCAATGCAGCAGAACTTCTACCAGTTGCACTTGGGATTCCTGTTGTGTCCACAGGAAGTGTTAACTCACAGGGTTGGGGGGGGTGGAAGGTGGGAGGTGAGTGTACAGCAAGAGCTCAGTGCGGCATACAACGTGAAATTTCAAAAAGCAAACTATTGGCCTGAGGTCATCCGCAAGCAGTGGCTCGTCATTACAAGAGTATCTCATTGACATCTGCTGTCACAGACCGATCTTGAAGTGAATGGAAATAGCTGCCAGCTCCTTCTCATCTTACATCCATTTTATTTCGCCCTCAGACAGGTTAAGGAGTGGGAGAAGGTCATTTGGCCTCTCAGGCTTGCCTTACTGTTAGCCGTTAACATGGCTGGACTGATTATCATCTGCACTCCACTTTCCTGTCAATTACTGTAAAACATTTCACTCCTTTGTCAATCAAGAATCTGTCAAACTCAGTCTTAAAACTATTGACAAAGAACTATTTTCTAACCAAGTCCTTTAAAGTTATTATTACATATCTCTGGAACAGCTGGGGCTTGAGAGCTCAGAGGTAGGGATACTACCACTGTGGTGCAGGAGTCCCCCCAGCATAGAGCACAAACCTGAGATTAAGGATCACGTGCTCTAACAACTGAGCTAGCCAGGCAAAGCTGATACAGCCCAGATGGGGCTTGAACCCCCCAATCCCTGGCTTAGGAAGCCAGTGCCTTATCTATTAAGCCACTGGGGTAACAGCTGCCTCCTCTGCTGTCTGAGGAAGAGTGTCTCACAGACTCTTGAATCTTTGAGAGAGAAATGTCTCCACATTTTCCATCTTAAATGGGAACCCGGTAATTTTTATGTTCTGTCCCTTAATGCTTGTCTCTCCCACGAGGAAGATGCTGTCTCAGTATCCACCCCACTACAGTAAGTCATGGTGTGAAGATAATGTCACTGGACTAATCATCCAGAATCCCAGAGAATGTGCTGGAGGAGCTGAAGAGGTCTGAAGAGAGTAGAGAGAAAAGAGAGTATATACTTCAAGTCTAGCCTTGGGGATATGACTTCAAATCCCTCTATGGTAAATGAAATTTTAATTCAACGAAAAAAAGCACTCAAGATGATTTATGTTTCAATAAAGTCCAATCTTGGTGCCTTTTACCTCAGCAGCACTCTCCCTGCAGTTCCAGTGAAGGCTTCTGGGTCAACCTTTAAGTTCAGCTGTTGATTTCACCCCCCAGCTTCCTCAAACTGCCTGTCATTTCAAAATTGACTGTTATTCCAGAAGCTGCTAACAAGCCAATTCCTAGAAGCTTGGACTGGCTGTTCCAATAACTGACAGTAAGGTACTCATACAGAAGTGGTTTTAAAACTAATTTAGGAAGATCCAACCCCAAATAGTTGCTAGGTTAACCATATGCTGCAGTTCTTGGAACAATCTCAAATGCACTCGATTCAAAAGCTCCAGATCTGCAGGGTTCACTCTGAAGGACACCTCTGTTTTGGTTCATGTAATTCTCTGTGCAACGATGCTGAAAGTTGACCAGTCCAGGCTTAGCACTTTCCTGCAAGTGACAAATATTGGGCTAGAATCCAGCTCTGAATGAAAGGTGACACTGTGATTATTCTCTACAGTTGTGAAATTGAAATCAATGGAGTGTGGAAGAGACTGCAAAACTCATTTATTGTCTATCCAGTCAGTAGCATTACATAAATTCTTGCATTACTTCAAAAATAGCAAATTATTGCTGCAGGAAAAGAAGGCTTGGACCAAATATTTGCTTCTGGCATTAGATGAAAATACAGGTTACAAGATGAGAAAAAACCAAGGTCCATTCAGATGCCTTCCCGCATCCTGGTGGTCATTACCTTGCTCCGTTAAGATACATCTTGAAGCTCATCTCTTTGACCAAGGCTTTGGTCACCTGACCTGATATCTGCTTGTCTCAATCAGTTATCCAGCTGCATTGTCCTCCTCCTTTAAGGTCTATTGCTCAGCTCCTTGCTTGAATAGTGTCTCAATGTCAAACGTGTTTGGCAGAGATTGAGTGTAGAAACCAAGTCATATTGCATCAGTTATGCCCTTAAAGGTGGCATGATGAGAAGCAGTCTTGGGGAGCAACTCCATTGCTGGCACCTGTATGAGGGAGGTATCAGTATGAGGGAGGTATCAGTGAGGGTTCTGATGCTTTTCCGTACTTAATCTGTCACCTTTGGACCCATCCCAGTCAATTCTGTGGTCCAAGCATGAAGAAGGTTGCTGTGCTATCAGGAACAGCAGGGATGTGTTGCTGAGTGTAAACCCCTTTAGCTACCTGCTGCATCCTTGAAGGCACTGAACTGCTGTTGGTATTTCGCTATCAATCCTTTAAATGTTTTACATTGGAGCTTGAACAGCAATTATTGTGTAGATCAGTGTTGTCCAAACACAGACGAGCCACAGTTCTGGCTGTAGTGACACTGTGTTAGCTGTGTGACCTCTCACCTTTGTGGCAAACTCCTGACACATTCCCAGCAAAGGTAGGATAAGGAGATTCACTTAATAAACATCTACTACCATTGTTCAGTTGCTTTAAAAAAAACACTCAGCGTAATCCTGGATACTCACATGGGGTATTCTTGGTGTGGTGTACTGGTAATGCCGTTGGACTAGTAATCCAATAAGGCCAGACTAACTTTCTAGGGACATGGGTTCAAATCTCACTGTGGTAGACACTGAAATAAATACAGAGAACACTAGAGAAACTCAGCAGGTCTGACAGCATCTGTGTGTAGAGAGAAAAAACAATTAATATTTCAAGTCCAATCTGACTCTCCTTCAGAACTGAACTTCATTTTGGATTGGAAACATTAACTCTGTTTTTCTCTCTCCACAGATGCTGTCAGACCTGCTGAGTTTCTCCAAAATTCCTTGTTTGCTTCGGATTTCCAGCACCTTTTTTTCATTCATTCACAGGATGAGGATGCTGGCTACCAGGCCAGCATTTATTGTCCATCCCTAATTGCCCAGACAGCAGTTAAGTGTCAACCACATTGCTGTAGGTCTGGAGTCACATGTAGGTCGGACCAGGAAAGAATGGCAGTTTGTTTCCCTAAAGGACATCGGTGAACCTGCAGTATTTTGCCTTTATTACAGCAGGCTGCGACAACTGAATTCCATAAGAAAACTGAAATGAAAAGTTGGCTAATGTTGCCCATGTGACTGCTGTTGATTGTCGTAAAGGTTAATCTGATTCACTGATATTCTTTTAGGGAAGGAAATCCGCTGTTCTTAGCTGATGTAACTCAAACCCACAGAAACATGATTGATTCTTAACTTCCTGCAGAGTGTGTAAAAATGGATAGCAAAGTTCACATGAATAAATTTTTTTTTAAAAATCATTTTATCAGCAAATGCCCTAAAAGTTTCAAGTAGGTGGAGTCACGCTGTGAGAGTATTGGAATCACAGTGCCAATGTGAAATAACTGCTCAGAGGCTGGTAACCTGTCACCACATCACCTGTTATTCACATGGGTACAGTACACAGATTCTGACCAGCCAGATCAGAATAACCCCTAGACTGAGGAATCCTGTAAAAAAAAACTGAAATGTGCCAAGACTCCCTGATTGACCCAGGTTAACAGACCCAATCAGGGAT